GCTGAAGTCGGTTGTGGACCAAAAGCATAGAGTAATAATGTATAGAGGCGTCATTTGCTCTGCCCGCGCTCTCGAGTGACTTTGCCAGTGATGCCGCCATAGAGTAATAATGTAATGTAATGTAAGGATTGATGCGAAAACTCCCCATACTATTGCTTGTGCTTCGCACATGTTAGAAGTGGTGAGAAACCGAAGTTAGAAGAAGTTAGCTTCGAACATGGCTCTCAGCAGAGCTTTGGCAGAGGCCCGGGCAGAGCAAATGAAACCTCTATATAGTTTCTTACTCTATGACTTCAGTTGATTGGGAATAGATTCGACCAATTTCTTTGTGGATGCAGAAGCACGAGTGAAACATCGATAACATCGATGTTTTCAAAACATCGAAACCATCGATGGATCGTGACCACCATCGATGTCCACCAACACCACCAGAATCAACGTCAAACGAGCCAAAATGCACATTTTCATTTTTGCAAAACAAACAAAGTGAAGTGCACCCGAGCCGATGCCATTATTGCCACAAGGCAATTTATGGAAAAGGAAAACACTCCTGACACTTGCGACCCCTTAAAGTATTGGGAGGTATGATTTTAAAATAATTACAGTGGCTCACAGCTTATTTGACCCACACCTAATTTTCAACATTAAACAGGTATAACTCCTGAACCATAAGAGATACGCATAAAAATAAAACGCAGAAAGGTTAACTGTTGTTTTAACTTCAAAAATATGTTTTCATTTATTTATTCTAGCAAGGAACTTCTTAATTAAACAATAAAAACTAAAAATACTGCCTTTTTCAATGTCACAGCTTATTTGACCCAGTTCATCAAATTAATTATAAAAAATTGCATAAAAATATTTTTTTAACTTTTAGTATTTGGTATGTCCGCCCTTTTGGTCCACAACCGACTTCAGTCGATTGGGAATAGATTCGACCAATTTTTTTGAGGTTCCTGGGGTGATTTTAGCCCATTCTTCAAGTCATTTTTATTGGAAATATTTTTTTTGAGTCCCGCAAAGCCCACAAATTCTCAATAACATTTAAATCGGGTGACTGACTGGCGGTTTCATTATATGGCGACAATTATAAACCAGCCAATATTAAACAATACCCGACTTATGCTTTGGGTCATTGTCTTGGTTCTCAGCACTTTGGAGTAATTATCCTTATCTGTTATTCGATTCTTGTTTTTGGAAGGGAAATCAAAGAGCGCTTGGATGCTGTGTATGGTGACTATTCTCCTTCGATGGCGACCGTCAAAAATTGGTTTAACGAGTTTCAACGTGGTCGCACGTCGGTTTTTGATGAGCCACGCCCAGGTGCCCCGAAAACGGCTACCACGCAGGATAACGTGACAAAAATCCACGATCTCGTATTGGCAGACCGCCGATTGAAGATACGCGAGATAGCTGAGACAAACAACGTTGACATTGGGGACATTTTTTATGTATATCGATCATTTAAAGGACTTTTGCTGATTTTAGGGACAGTCCTCAAAATTTTCTGGCATATAGCGTCTATTTCGGGGACATTTTAATATACGCAGTGAAGTACGAATTATTTTGGTCCATTTATTTACTGTTATAAAAAGAGGTCTTTTTGCTGCAAAGATTCAATAACCTGTTCTTATATATACTCATTTTAAATAATAGTTTTTAATACTTTTATTTTTTTAATATATATTTATCATTGATTATGGGGACTTCTGATAAAAGTGCGTGTAATGCAATGACTATAAATGTGGAAAGTTTAAATTTATGTTAATATGATATTCTAACCCCATTTCGATGAAAACATGTTGAAAATTCTTAAGTTAAAGCTATATTTAAAAAATTGTACATAATTTTTTTCTGAAAGGTGGCATCTCTGTGCTGTATATATGCATACCGTATCAATGTCTTGTTTGGGGACTTCACAAATAATTAAATTATTTGAAGTAATCTTTAATGGCAACCAAGAGAAACAGATAGTTGGCAAAGTTTTGCTCCACTTTCATAAAAAAAAATTATTTTATTTAATTTTTTGGGTTTGGTTATATACTACCAATTTCCAACAAAGGGTTTTTTTTTATTTTAATTGGCAATACAACAATAATATTCAATAAAAAAAAGTTATTTTTATGTTAATTCCTGATTAATGAGTTTACTTATGTATCGAATAGTATACAAAACATAGCAATTACAAAATTTCAAATTTTTTTTTTTAAATGCAAAGGTTAAAAACCTATAATTTAAATTTTTATCATTTAGAAATTGTTGAAAGTTTGTTAACGATGCGGAAACAAGAACTCCATTAGTATCCATTAAAAAGAGCAAGACCTACTTGCTGCCCTGCGTTTTAATAGAAGAAGGAGGGCTATTATGATACTTTTTCACCATGTCGATGAAAATGTGGAAAATACTTAACATAAGCTATATTTAAGCTAAATTATATGTAATAATAATCTCGGTATCCCACATTCCTCCCATTCATACATACATATACATAATGCAAGAACTGCAAGGGTAGGGGGACGGCAGTTCAGAAAAATCAAAAGTGTTTTTAACAAACAAATACCATAAATAAATTTATGAAATAAATGTATCGATAATATATTATTGTACAATTAAAACGCAGTCATATTGTTTGTTGGTAATGCTTACAGACATACATACATAGGTATGTATGAATTATATTAGGGTGGCCTTCTTTAAGGTCATATGAGCTCAGAATCTTAAATTATAGCTTTCTGTGTTCAATAAATTTGTGCAAAAACAAAAACAAATTATTTAAACACTTAGGAGGTGCGCAACGGACACAAAGTTTGACTACAAATTATTTATACGACACGTAGAATTTTCCTTCATGCTTTAATTAAAGGCAAAAAAGTCCGCCCTAATGTACATATGTATGTACGTAACTTCAAACTAACACATTGTTCAGACAGACGGCGTTTCTGCAACATCCAAATACGCAACTGTGTTTCTAGCAAACAATAACAATATATGTATAAATTAAAATAATAATAAATGTATCGATGATCTAGTAGTTTATAATAAAAACGTAGTCACATTACATGTTCGTAATGCTTTCATACATTTCCGATCCTCGATATAAAAAATTTCTTCTAGGTTTCGGCAGTTATTAATAACCAAACAAAATGGCATTTACACTTTAACAAAAACTGAAAAGATGTGGGCGCCAGGATTTTGTTAATATGCTTTAAGGGAATTTTGGCTGTTAGAGTGTGCGTGTCAAATTGTTTTTAGGTATCGAAGCAAGAAATACATTTCAGTCTAAGTTTTCAGTACAGCTTGGGCGCCACAGTTTTTCGCGGTTTGTGGGCGTTAGAGTAGGCATGGCACACATACGTAGAATTTTTCTTCATTTCCTAATTAAGGGTACCAAAAAGGCAAACAAGTCCGCCCTAATGTACAAAAGTAAACAAAAACTAATACATTGTTCAGACAGACGGCGTTTCTACAACATCCATTTAAATACGCAACTGAGTTTTTAGCAAACAATTACAAAATATATAAATTAAAATAATAATAAATGTATGAATGATCTAGTATTGTATAATGAAAACGTAGTCACATTACATGTTGGTAATGCTTACATACATATGTATATACAGTGGCTCACAGCTTATTTCAACCAGTGCTCAAGTAAAACTTTAAATCGCTGTATTTGCCAAATTTAGAGGGATATTGGAACATTTTAAACCCAGATTTATAGATCTGTATTTTAACTTTTATTTCATCAATTCTTACATTTTTAAATATTTTTTTAATATTTATTTTGATTTTAAGACTCAAATAGCAGGTAAAATGAATGCCACATTTTATTTCAACCAGCCATGAAAAGAATATATTTTTTAAAGATTAAGAACTAAAAATGATAAAATAATATTTTGTATGACCAGCCTCCGTGTAAACAATAATTTAAAGTCTTTTTGGGATTGAGTCGACCAATTTTTAAGTCACTTGGGGACTAATTTTGGCCCATTCTTCGAGTAATGCGTTTTTTAGGTCCGTCTTATTGAAAATTCGAAGCTTTCGAATTTTTCTGTCCAATATAGCCCACCAATTATCAATAACATTATTATCTGGAGACCAGGCTGATGGTTTCATGATATGGGGGCAATTTTAAATGAGCCATGTCGGCAGAGTTCCCGATATGTGCTTGGGATAATTGTCCTGATAAAATCGGAATTTTATCAAACTGCGGAAATGAACTTTGGGTCAACCCTAGCGAAAAGATTAAAAAATTTAATCTTTTGGCGTGCGCTTCTCACTGAACATTATAAGAAATGGAGGGAAAAACTCAAAAAACTCACAAAAGTCGATTCATGTGAGGACAAAATAATATTAATACCATCTGGGGTGCCTCTTGTCAGAGCAAAATGTTTTTTAGGTCCAGAATGTACAAAAAAACACAATAAAAGTGCAGCTATGAACTTTAAATTAGCAAATAATTATCAGTAAATTAAAAAAAACAGCTGTTAAATTTAAATTGTATTGTTTTTTAATTTCTTTGTACATCGGCAGACTTGTCTTGCCAAGGTATTTGATAATATCTTTTAAAGGCTCTTTCCTGCAAATACGATATTTGAATTTTAACTGCTTGTCAACAAACCCAGCTGATTGACAGTACGACCGTAGCACGCTTAAATCTGATGAACTCTCAAAAGTTTGGTCACACTGGAAAGATTAAAGTTTTTTACGCTAGCGTAATTGTTTGTCGATCTGGATACTAGGCTTAACAAATAAATACTATTATTGTACTAACCGGCGTACTAAACGTTAACACGGTGCAACAACTTTTTCGATGTTGCAAATTTTAGCGGCAGTGTGCAATCATTAATTAACAAAAAACGCGCTGCGTTATTGAAAGTAGTATTAGTGTGAATGGGATATTATTGTATATACAAACAAATTATCGAAAGTTTCTCGGACCGGAAAGTACAATGTACATACTCATATATGCACATATCGGATCTGCATTCTCTTGTTAACCGCCTAAGCTTCAAAATGAGTCCCAAAAAGTTATTGCGTGTGCGCGTGAAGAATATTAAGAAAAAAGTTAAAGTGGCTGCAGGTAAGTAATATAAAGTCCAGTCTATATTTATTTTATGTGTCATAAACAAGGTTCTCAAAATAATTATCCAGTTAAATGGAAATAAGTGATCGGAATTAAGACAGTATTTAAATAACATGGCTAAAAAATAATCTATGCGTCAATTCTAAGATGTTCGAAGGGCTAATTAGAAAAAGTAGGACATATAAAATTTCCCTGGAACTGTCGCGCCAAAATGCATCCAAAGCCTTAATATTGTTTTTCACATAGCCAAAGGTTATTATATTTGACATTTTAACGGTCCGATCTGTATGATTTTTTTTTTGTAAGTGTTCATAAAACCGAATACTGCAAAAATTGAGAAGAAATGCGGGATAAACTATTTTATTTTGACTGTGTTTAAGATTCTTAAATTTAAACTAAGAATATCTAAGCACCAAGAAAATTTCAATAAGTTAAAACTAATATTTTAAATTTCGCATCTAAATCTAGAATCCACTGCTAAGAACGCAAAAGGCCCAGGCCCATACTCCGAGCTCTGTAAAAGTAAGTATTTTATACATTATTTGTTTAAATACCAACATTACCTACTAATAGCTGATTAGCTCATTGCCGAAGTTAGCTCTCTATATAACATATTTTCGGTTAATCTATTTTTAAACATAATATAACTCTACTAATTTATAGCACTTCCTTTTTACAGGTCAAAATTCAAACTCTACCGTTAAATATGAACCAAAAGCTACAGTTGGGAATATAGAACTCAGTGGAAGTAAGTATTAAACATACATTATTTTATTATTACCTCTCCTTTGCAAATATATTACGAGTTTGAGGTTTTATTGCCAATACAATAAGTAACTGTTCTGATATCTTAATTTTTGTTTTTGCAGATCCAATTTTAAATTCAACCGCTTTTGATGCAGATCCAGATTCAAACTCGAACGTTTTTGATGAACCAGAACCAGAACTAGTTGGAAATATCGAACACTGTGAAAGTAAGTATTTTATATATGCCTTACACAGAGAGTTTTTGTTTGAGTTTAGAATTTAACAAGGCACCGAATCAAAAACAAAAAATAGCTATTACCAAAACCGAAACCAAATTGAAATTTTGGTAACTTTAATCCCATTTAATTTTGATCCGATCAAATGTAATCGGAAATTTATATTTTATTTATTGTTTTTTTGCTATTTATTTAGTTACTGTTTTAATATATCAATTTTCTTTTTTGCAGATCCAGATTTAAGTTTAACCGTTTTTGATGAACCAGAAGCCACAGATGGGAATGTCGAACACTGTGATAGTAAGTATATAAGCCTTATAACAAAACTATTAATATATTTCTTTTAAAATATATTACACAAAGTTATTCAAAAACCAGAGTGTTTACCGAATTCAACTTAGTTGAAAAAAATATTTTTTTGTTGTAAAAGATTTTTTAAATTGTTAATTTAAAAACGGTACTTATATTAAATTTATTCTTTTTGCAGAACCAGATTTTGAATCCACACTTCCTGAAAACCCAGAATCTTCAAGTATAGAAAATTCTGCTAGTACGTAAAGCTATATTTGTCAATTATATTTTTATGTATATATGTTATATAACTAGTCTACATTTTTCTAATAGTACATGTCCTTAATAGATTGTAGAAAATGTCACGCTAATAATTCATACTAATTTATATTAATATTCTCCAAATCTTAAAAACAGCTTTGCTTTTGTTTTAGATCTTTTGAAATCCTGTTTGTCCCCTTCGAACGGGGATGTCAAAAAAACTTTTTTTCCACCTAATAAAATACACTAATATAAGTAAAACCCATATTTGGCTGGAACAAATTTATGTGACAACCCCGATACAGAGAAGCCACATAAATCTTTGTTTGAGTTATGTGGCACCTTTCAAATTAATAAAATTAAATTTTTAATTAGATTTCACAGATCCAACCTATATACTAAGTTCCACAAATCTCTCTTTAAATAATACCGCGGTATCTCAAAATTTTTCTTATAAGCCTGATGTTCCTTTATATGACGTAAGAGACTTGATTATTCCAACCAAAAAATTGATAGAAAAATCGAAAAAACATTTTTGTATGTTCTGTCAAAAACTGCAAACAAAATTTGCACGCCATTTGCAACTCGTTCATAAGAATGAGAGCTCAGTGAGGAAATTTAATTGTCTTCCAAAAAATGACAAAATAAGGAAACAATTAATTGATGAAATCAGAAAGAAAGGCGACTTCATGTTTAACACAGATAAACAGTTCAACAAAGGCATTTTGATTGTTCCTCGACAGAAACAAAAAAACTCAAAAAACCAAGCTGCTGATTTTGTTTGCTGCAAATTTTGTTGTGGGTTCTTTCCAAAGAACACTTTGCGCAGCCATGTAAAAAACTGCCCTGGTAGTAGTCACAAAAAAGGAACTCGTGATTTACTTAAGAATGGTCGTGCCAAAACAGGATTTGTCCATCACTCTGCTGTCGATGTTCTACGGGAAAAAGTATTGCCGGTGTTAAATGATGACGAAATTTCACGAAACCTACTTTACGATGAGCTTATAATATTATATGCAAATGAACAATGCTTCCGCCACAATGAACTTCAATATGACATGATTAGAGCGAATATAAGGTTGCTTAGCAGATTGGTTATGGAATTAAAGAAAAATTCTGAAGACATTCGAGAGCTCAAAGACGCCATTGCACCGAAACATTTAGACGTTCTTGTATGCTGCATTCGTTCTGTTGCGAAATGGGATTCAACCACTCAATTTTTTAAAACGCCTTCGGTAGCGACTAACCTCACCGCGTTAATAAAAAAATGCGCCTACAGACTACTGGCACAAAGCATAAAAACACAGAATGACGATCAAAAAAAATCAGTAAAAGATTTTTTAGTTTTATGGGAAACTGAAATTCCGATTTTTATAAACAAAAAAGCTTGTGAGGATCAGTCGAAAATCAAACGTTCAGCACGAACCATTCTTCCATGTAAGGAAGATATTAAAAAGCTTTTTGATTATGTCAGAAACAACTCAGAAAAAGCTCTTCACGTATTAAAAAATAAATTTGATTTAAATGCCTGGAACTCTTTGATTCAAAGTACACTTATCGCCCTGCAAATTTTTAATCGACGACGAGCTGGTGAAATTGAACGACTCACTATTGAGAATTATAACACTGGCCACGCCATTGAGGAAAATATGGACCTTGAAAATTTCGCATCCCTATCAAAGGAATCACAAGAGATTGCCAATAAATATACAAGACTAACAATTCGCGGAAAGCTGAATAGAACGGTTCCAGTGCTTCTTACGCCTTTTGATAAATTTTGTATAGAGACTATTTTAAAGTATAGAAAAAAGGCTGGCGTAAAAGAAACAAACATCTATATATTCAGCGTTGCCCATTGTAAGCCCTTAGCAAAACCTTATGTAAGGGCGTGTCCCATTTTAAAAATGTTTGCGGAAAGGTGTGGAGCTAGATGTCCAATGGCTTTAAGAGGTACTATGCTCAGAAAACATTTAGCTACGTATACCTCTCTGTTAAATGTAGAAGATATGCAAATAGACAGACTTGCAAACTTTATGGGACACCACAAGGATATACACAAGAGCATATACCGCATACCTGTATCAGTAGCAGAAATTACAGAGGTGTCAAAAATGCTAATGGCAGCTTTGGGAAACGACGATCCAGAGGATGAATCTATTCCTGTTCCGTTAACAAATAGTGAGTAATGTTAATGGGTGCCAGTGGCTTACATATTTATTAACATTTATGATCATAACTTCTTTTTAACGGTGATAATTGTTTGTGGTTGATCTGGCTCTAATCAAGAACAATATCTTGCAATACAATTTTTTGTGCAACAAAAAAAATGTGATTTATGTTAAGACTAAAATTAATTAATTATTTACAAGAATAAAGCACATATTTTTTGACCAGTATGTTCGAGTATAAAGAATGAAATTAATTATTTACTTTAAATATAATCTATGTAAAAATTAATTTATTAAAATAAGAATTATTTTGTATTATGTTTTTTGTAAGCACTATAAATATAGTTGTTTATATTTTGTAGATGATTTCGAACGGTTGAATCAATTATACAAAAAAAATAAAAAAAATAAATGGGGATGATGTTTTTTTTTTTTTAAAAAATTAAAAAAAAAAAAAAATTTTTTTTATTTTTATTTTAATTTTTTTTAATATTTATTTTAATTAATTATTTTTTATATTTTTTATTTTTTTTTAAAAATTTATAAAAATTTTTTAATATTTTTTTTTTATTTTTTTTTTTTTTTTATTATTCAAAAAAAAGGGGGAATTGTTAAAATTAAAGACTTGTCCATCGTTTTTGGGTCCAGCTAACAATTTTAAATTTAATTCTTTTAAAAAAATTTTGTTGTTTTTTTTTGTAATAACCCCCTTTTTAAGAAAAGAACCCCCCAAAAGATAATTTTTTTTTTACAAACAAAGAAAAGGGAAGGGGGGAAAAAGGGGGTTTCTTTTAAAAAAAAAAATATAAACTTTAAGTTACATTATAAAGAATGTTATTCATGAATGTTATTTTTATTTTTATGATTTAAAAACTTAATAAATTGTGCGGCGGTGATCTTGATTTCATTTTTCAAAATAAAAACTTAACGAGGACGGAAGCTAACTTCGGCAAGCCGAAGTTTTAATACCCTTGCAGACTTTGACGAAATTGCTAAAAGTGAAAAAGTAGCGAAAGGAATAAGGTATACATAAGTAAACTAGATTTGCATCGTTTCAAGTCAATTGCTTTTATACTGCAAAAATGTCATATACAAAAGGGATACTTTCGCAGCCTTTAACAATTTTTCCTATCTCCTTTAAGATATAGACTTCCGAGCGGCAAGCGCTTTTACCCTAATCAAGATATGCGTAAATAAATAAGAATTGGAAAATTTTATGTTAGTAGCTTACACACTGCGCGAAATATTCTGATAATCATCAAATTTGGACCGATTTCACCCTATTGTTCCTATGGGAGCTATAGGATATAGACGTCCGATCGGCACGCGCTTTCACCTTGATCAATGTATGCATAAAAAAATAGGATTTGGAAAGATTCATGTCAATAGCTTGTATACTGCGTGAAATATCCTAAAAATCATTAAATTTTAACCGATTTTACCCTTTTGTTCCTATGGGAGCTATAGGATATAGACGTCCGATCGTCACGCGCTTTTACTCTGATCAAGGTACGCATAAAAAAATAAGATTTGGAAAGATTTATGTCAATAGCTTTTACACTGCGCGAAATATCTTCCATTCTTGCAAGTTATATCCGATTGTTCCTATGGGAGCTATAGGATATAGACATCCGATCGGGTTTTCAAACTTGATCTGCGTACACTTGTTTTAGGACGACTGTGAAAGTTTCAGATCGCTAGCTTTTAAACTGAGCTCGCAAACGGTATTGAAACAGACGGACAGACGGCCAGACGGACGGACGGACAGACGGACAGACGGACATGGCTATATCGACTCCCCTATTGATCCTGATCAAGAATATATATACTTTATAGGGTCGGAAACGTCTCCTTCACTGCGTTACAAACTTCTGACCAAAATTATAATACCCCCTGCAAGGGTATAAAAATTAAAAACTTAAAACTAAATTTAACTTAACAATAAATTAACAATAAATTAAAATTAAATTATACCAGCAACACACACGAATAAACCCCGTCAAAGCGTTCAAGCCGTTGAGCTTTGTGAAAAGGGCAGGGGGGCAGTCATCATCTCTATATATAAAACTGTTCATTGAAAACCAAGAATCAACGCACAGCCTAAACCAATTTCTATAAAAAAAAATCTGAACGCTAAACGCGTTAATCAATCGATGCGATTTTTGGCCAAAATTTAGTCCTCTACATAATAAAGATTCCATTTAATTTAATATTCGATATTTTAATGTTTACTATTTTTTATCGATCTTTGAAAATCTAAGAATCTTCCTCATTTTTTCCAAACGGCAAAAAAACACTGATCTAAGTCAATTAGCAATATGAAAATTAATCGAGGGAATCCTGATGCATTAAGGATTCATATGGTGGTTTTACTGAAGCTCTAGATCAATTCTAAAAAAAGTTACATTAGCCTAAAGTAGGAATAATAATTCCAACAAATTATACACAAGCATTGAACACCGAATGCATTCTCTCGCACTGTCTCACTCTCTCTCTCTCTCTCTCTGATTCTGTGTAGTACAATAATTGTGCGGCGGCTGATCTTGATTTCTTTTTAAAACTTAAAATTAAAAACTTAACTGAATTAAACTTAACAATAAATTAACAATAAATTAAAATTAAATTATACCAGCAACACACACGAATAAACCCCGTCAAAGCGTTCAAGCCGCTGGGCTTTGTGAAAAGGGCAGGGGGCAGTCGTCATCTCTATATATAAAGCTATCAGTAAAAAAACTGGGAATCAACGCACTGCCAAAACCACTGGTTAACAATATTAATATGCATTTTTATTACATTCTAATAACTTTAAACTGATTTGCTAAGATTTATTGGGGCTCCCCAAGTGGCCCCA